CAGACTTTGAGTAGCTGTGTGATCCAGGGCAAGTCACTCAACCCCAGCCTCAGTTTCCTCATTTTTAAGATGAGGAATTTTAAATAAAATTTTATTTAATAAAAATAAAACTTTAAGTCTAACTCCCAAGGTTGCTGTGAGGACAGACAATAGTTGTCAAATAATTTGCAAACCTTAAAGTGCTATGTAAATGCTAGCAATTATTACTATTATCTCATATAGTAGGTACTTAAATTTTTATTTAATTGAATTACATTAATATTCAGCATTGACTTTCACAACTCAAATCCACCAAGTAATTGTTCTTCCATGGAGCTATGGCCACAGAACTGGATCAGGAATACAAGTCCAGGCACAGGGATTCTAGATGCCAACAAGAGATTGAGTTGAGAATTATTTGACAATAGAAAGGGCTGAGGTCACCCAAGGCTTTGCCAATTACCGTTGGAAACAGAATTATACATCAGTATCCCAGTACACATGATGATTCCATGTGAACCTTGACACAGGAAGAATCCAACATGAGTCAGAGTCAGGGAAGGGTCTGTGCACTGTCGAATATACGTACCCCAGAGCAAAGGCAAATACAGAAGGACTTCTCCTTACTCATCACTGACCAGAGGACATTTCACTCAAGGGAAAACTTTTTTTTTTGTTTTTGGCCTAGAGTAAAACTGTTTTCCTCTGGGGATGCACTACTGAAATGATAATGGTGATTGACAGAAAGATATTAATTTTACCAACAAAACACTTCTTAAATTTAAAAAAAGTTTTTTTGGTATAATAAAACACTTTTCAAGAATACATTGATTATGTAAAGTGATGCATAGCCATAGAGACTTAGGCCAGGGTAAGACGGTGGCCTGAGTGCATCTTTGATGAATTTAGTGAGCGTAGGCACAGCAGTTGGACAAGCTATATAGAAGTCAGTTTTTACTTTAGGCTATTTGTTGTTGTTTAGTTGTTCCAGTCATAACTGACTTTTCATGACCCTATTTGGGGTTTTCTTGGAACAGATACTGGAGTGATTTTGCCATTTCCTTCTCCAGCTCATTGGACAGATGAAGAAACTGAGACAAACAGGGTTAAGTGACTTGCCCAGGGTCACACAGCTAATAAGTGTCTGAGGCTGGATTTGAACTCAGGGCCTTCTGACTCTAGGCTTGGAGCTTTATCCATTGCACCACAGAACTGGCCAAAGAAGCATGGAGTTGGTTAACCCAAAATGGGCTTTAGTGTTCCTTATTAAGAACTTTTCCTTTCTATGGATTTAAGCAGTCATTTTGTTCCATTCCATCTTGTTTGGGAGTGGAGCTAAGGAATCGTTGGCTTAGCCCTGAGCATAGCCTGCCACTGTTCTTTATCTGGAGAGACTAAAATGTCCCCTGATGACTCTTCCTCCCGGTTGCTCCCTCAGTCTCCCTTGAGAACATTTCCAGCACCTCCTTTGTCAACATAATGTCTGTCAACTTAGACTACACAGTTACTGTGAACTCACTGGTCCTCAGGAGGCCAGTGCGATTGCCATCGGCCCTTGGCATATTTTTAATAATGATTAGCTTTCTTGGTACACATAAATGATTGCAGATGATAATGGCTTCACTTTTAAATACGTAGGACTCAATGTAAAATAAATGTAAGATATAAACAATGTAAATTTTTTTTTAAATGTGCTTAAAAGGTTCTTAAAATAAAAAAATTACTGCACAAAATACAAGATTGGCAGACTGAATAGGGCAGTGGATCAAGAGTTAGGAACATCTGGGTTCAAATCCTGCCTCAGACATTTTTTATTTGAGTCACCCTGGGTAAGTCACTTAATCTCTCTAGGTCTTGGTTTCTTATCTAGGTCTTAGCAAAGGGGTTGGACGCGTTGGCCTTAAGGTCCCTTCTAGCTTGTTATCTACGATACCATGAAATACAGATGAAAAGAAATTAGAAGTTCAGGCTATCGTAATGCCTTTTTATTATTTAACGTTTGATGAAATATACACTTACACCTAGAGAAAACAGGCTGAAGTATCTCACCAATGATGACTTGTGGAAAAAAAGTAGCAGAAAATACTAATAACTAGGATGATAATAAGAACAAAATAATTTCAACATGATTTATATGGTGTGTTACGGTTTGAAAGAATTACACATATGTATTGACATATTATATGTCATCTATATTATATGTGTATATAGATATATAAAATACACATACTTATATATATATATACATATCTCTTAAATTTTGATCATTTTTCAGTTGTGTCTGACTCTTCACAACCCCATTTGGAGTTTTCTTGGCAGAGATAGTAGAGTGGTTTGCTATTTCCTTCTGCAGCTCATTATACAGATGAGGAAACTGAGGCAAACAGAGTTAAGTGTGTTGCCCAAGGTCACACAGCTACTAAGTGTCCGAGGCCAGATTTGAACTCAGGAAGATGAGTCTTCCTGACTCTAGGCCTGGAACTCTATCCACTGTACCACTTAGCTGCATGTATGTTTATATATGTATCTATACATCTATATATCTCTCTCTCTGTTTCATTCTCTATGCTCATTTGATCCTCACAATAATCTTATGAGGGAGGTGCTATTGTCACCCCCATTTGACAGATGAGAAAACTGAGGCTCAGAGAGGCTAAATTGCCCAGGGTGCCATATCAAGTAAGTCTGATGCTGGGGTTAAATACAGAGCTTCAGGCCAGCGCACCATCCACCACGCCACAATCATCCAAGAGATGCACGGCTGAAGGAGAGTTGGAAGGTCACCTAGTGGGTGAGTTAGAACAGGCACTCATGTCATATGAGCAAATGTAGAAGAAGGTCCCTAGCACATCAAGGAGACATATGGAGAAAGAACACTGGACTTACGAAAAAAGGCCCGGATGTGAATCCTGCCTCTAACAGGCTCGTAGTTAACCTAGTGCTAAGGGACAGCTAGGTGGAGACATGGTGCACTGGGACTGGAGTCAGGAAGACCTGAGTTCAAATTTGTCGCAGACACTTATTGACCATGTGACCCTGGGCAAGTCACTTGACTTCTATTTGCCTCAGCTTCCTCAAAGGTAGAAAGGGATAATCACAGCACCGACCTCTCAGGGCTGCTGTGAGGATTAAATGAGATAATATTCGCAAAGTAGTTAGCACAATGCCTGCACATAGTAAGTGCTTAATAAATGCTTGTTTCTTTTCTGAGCCTCGTTTTCTCATTTAAAGTAGAGGAAAGTATTCCTTGTAGTATCTCTCTCACTTTGTTATTATGAAGGTTTTCATGAAAAGACGCTGTAGAGAAGATGCTGACCTGCCCTGGTAGAGCAAATTCTTCCCCAGGAGTTACCTACAGCAGTGAAATCACAGGACCGCTATGCCCTATGCTAGTTATTATTGTTATTATTATTGAGGAGTTCTGGGAGGACATGCACAAGAGTCATACAGGTTGAGAAGGCAAGGATGGGTTACTATGATCTGCATCCTTAGAGGGAGAACCCCCATCAGTGTGATCACATGTACAACGAAATATGGAAGCACTCTGTATATCCTACTGTATATAAGATTTAGAGCTATAAGGGACCTGTGAAACCATTTGGCCCAGTCCCTCAGTTTACAGGTAAGAAGGCTGAGGCCCAGAGAGGTGAAGTCACTTGCTCATGGTCACCTAGTCAAGTAAGTAGTCAGGCTGGGAATCAAAACCAGGTACTATGACTTCAAACCTGTGCTCATCTCATTATACTACGATGTCCACTTGGGATAAGGAAGTACATTATATTGAGAACTATGATCTTTCCAAGAACCTTATAATCTTATTTTGTGTGGCCTTAAAGTACTACTTCAGCCATGATGCCATAGGAAGTAACTTGAACTGAAAGAGATCATAACCGAGATAAGTCAAAGACAAATCTTAAAAAAAAATTCCATGGAATGGGCATGCCCATTTTCTCCTCCTTTCCTCCTTCCTTCCTTCCTTCTCTTCCTTTTTTCCCTCCTTTTGTCTTCCTCCCTCCCTCTCTCCCTTACTTCTCATTCCCTTTTCTTCCTCTCCCTCCCTACCTCCATCCCTCCCTTTCTTCTTTCCTTCCTTCCCTCCCTCATTCCCTTCCACTCTTCCATCTTTCTTTCTTTCTTTCTTTCTTTCTTTCTTTCTTTCTTTCTTTCTTTCTTTCTTTCTTTCTTTCTTTCTTTCTTTCTTTCTTTCTTTCTTTCCTTCTTTCTTTCCTTTCTTTCTTTCTTTCTTTCTTTCTTTCTTTCTTTCTTTCTTTCTTTCTTTCTTTCTTTCTTTCTTTCTTTCTTTCTTTCTTTCTTTCTTTCCCTTCCCTCCCTCCATCCTTCCTCCTCTGCTCCCTCCCTCCCTCTTTCCTTTACTTTCCTCCTTTCCTTTTCCTTCCCTTCCACTCTTCCTTCCTCCCCTCCTTAAAAAATTTTTTTATTAAGTATTTACCATGTGCCAGTCACTATGCTAAGTACTGGCATCTCTCTTTTAATATTATAACCATGACTTCAAGACGGCTTAAAGTGAAATGATAAGATTATTGCTATTGCAACCAAATGTCTATGTTCATCTGCTTGATGCACCAAAAATTTCACGAAAGGAGCAGGGATGAACAATAACTAGACATTTTTTCTCCAAGAAGAATTCTCCGCAAAGGTTATATACCGTGAGGCATATCCACTGCGGTCTCACGTGTGCTTCCACACTTTCTGATTTTTTTAACCTACAAAATGTGACCTGATTTCTCCCTTGTCTTTCAAGGTTATTACAAAGTTTAGGGAAAATAAGGAAGTCAACAGTAACAACACAGGAAACAATTTACTGACCAAGAAGAATGTGGGAACCATACTTTAAAAAGAAAAGCATATTTGGTTAAGATAAGCATCAGTGCAAAGGCTCATTTAAGAAGGGCACTGCTTAAAATTTAAGCAGCAAGTAATGGGAAGCGACAGACCTCAAACAATTTCAGTCTTTCATAGCTGAGTGAATTCATGGGGACAGCAGGACAAGGATAACTTACCTTACCAGGACCTTCCCTATGGCTTCATAGGCCCTACTTAGGCCAACAGGATCATCTAGGGCTATGGAGATATTTGAGAAGATGTCGAAAGCCTGTCATGCAGAGAAAAAAACACACACAATAAAATAATTACAGCATCAGATACTTCGGATTTTGAATTCCAACTATTTTGATATTATTTTGCAGGACTCTGTCCCAGACCCCATGAGAGTGGCCTGGAGTTCCCCCAGCCTAAGCTTATACCAGTCACAATACCCCATATTCCCCCTCTCTCACTGTTGGCTGCCCACGGGAGATTCTGAAAAACCCAGGATGGATGTCTCTGTGTCCACCCCAAATCTTCCTGTCACATGGCTCCTTCTCTTCTTTTTTCCCCCTGGTCAGACACTGACTTTTCAATCCTCAGCTCTGCTAGAGGGAATCCAGAATTCCAGAGACCCTTAGGTCCATTCCCCACTTCCCAATGTTGGTGGGCCACACTCCTCCAGGCTTTCTGACCTGAAGGACTGATATCCTGATCTCCTTGGAGACTCCTCGGCTTTGTAGCCACCCTGCTGCACTCTTAGAACTTCAGGACCTCTATCGCCCCTGAAGAAAAACTCTACTGTAATTATTTCTTCCCCAATTAGAATGTGAGTTCCTTTAGAGCACAGATTGTCTTCTTATTTTATGTGTATCCTTTGCCTTTAGCTACACTTGGCATATAGTTACTACTTAATCCGTGCCTTCTCATTCATTTATATCAACACTTATTTTTATATGTTTGTAGCACAAAACACTTTGATTCATCAAAACAGAAATATTGGTTTGTTTCTCTTGAATAGAACTTGAACTGCACCAGCCTTTTGTCAACAACGCCAGTGACTTCTCCCAACAAACATTATTTTGCTTTTGGCCTCATAGCCCCAAATTTCCCAATCCACATAATTTTCAATGTGAAAGAATAATTGAATGCTTCTCAAATATGATTTTCAAGTGATGCATCACTACTCAAAGTGACATAAGGCACTGAATATTCCTCTAATATAACAGCTTAAAACAGCATTTTCTTTTTGCAAATAGTGATTTAAAAAGCATGAGTTTAGGCTACATTCCATTTCAATCAGTCATTTTATTGCTTATATCTTTCATTATTTGTGCACATACACACAAAATCTGTTAAACAGGACTTAATATACACTAAAAATCTTTCTTACAAATGCACTCCATTAATGATGACCTCTTCGATAATCAAAGGATTAGAGCTGCCACAGTCAAACATATGATCTTAATTTAATTTAACACTCACATCATCTGTATTGTATAATTTCCCCTTTCATCTTTTTTTTTCCTTTCCAATGGGCAGGAGGAAAAATACATAAAATGAAATCCCATTCTTTCTTCTTCCCTCATTGTTACTTGACCCAACCCATTACACACATGAGGACACAAGAAATCTCTAAAGACTCTCTATGGAAATCCTTTTTGCACATTTCTAAGAAAGGATTAGTGAAAGTCATTTGGCTAGGCTTGGGATAGAGAGGAGGTGTGAGGGAGGATGTGAATATGCCCTAAATCCAACTGTCTGAGGCAGATTCTGACAATCTGAATAGGGTGTGGGGGGAGGAAGGGATGGTTCTCTTTAATTCAGCTTCTAAAATCAATTAATTGAGAAATCCCTTCTTTGAAACCAGGATATGAGAAGGTATTGTATTTTTCAGAAATTCTGCAACTATCTAGGTTTTAAGTTGTTTACTACAAAACATCTCAGATAAGTCTGGGTGTTCTTGGAGGCACTTGCTGGTGTGGGACACTTAAATAGCATGAGGCTTTCATCATGTATGGGATTTAATATTAGGGACAATGACAAAATGGAGAAGATTCAGAAGATTTGGCTGGGATAGCCAGGACACTAGATACCATTCCATGCCAGATCAGTTGAAGGAAAGGAGAATGTCTAGCCTGGAAAAGACTTGGTGGTGGTGGGAGGGAGAGAGAGAAGAATCAGCTGCTTTTAAATATTTGAAGGGTTGTCATAAAAAAAGAGGGATTAGACCTCTTTTCCTTGTCCCTGGAAGGCAAAACTAGCAATAATGGGTTAAGCAATAATTAAATTAATAAAAATAAACTAGAGACGTTTGTCAGCTCAAAAACATGTGAAAAAACTACTTGATAATTAGAGCTGTCCGAAAGCAAAAGTGAAATTGGTTGTGCCTCAGGAGGTAGTGAGGTCCCCATGGCAGGAGTTTCTTAAGCAGAGGCCAGATGACAACTTGTCAGGAATCCTGCTTTAGGTAAGAGTAGCATAGTTCATAGAGCTCAAAGACTAGAGAAGGAAGACATGAGTTCAAATATAGCTGTGCGCCCCTGGGCAAGTCACTTCACTTCACCCTGTTTGCCTCAGTTCCCCCCTCTGTAAAATGAACTGGAGAAGGAAATGGCAAACCACTCCAGTATCTCTGCCAAGAAAACCCCAAATGGGGTCGTGAAGAGTCAGACATGACTGAAAAACAGCTATAAAAACTTTCAATATACTACTACAGCATGATTCTAACTGTACCCCTCTCTTCACTCCACCATACATAGAGAAGAAAGAAGAGCAGTCTAAGTTGACTCCAAGGTTTTGATCTTTAAGTGCCAAAAAGCAAGCAAGCACCTCCATTTTACCATGCTCTGGGATGCCACCCACCCACCAGTCTTGTCCCCCTCCCCCTCCTTAGCTCACTGCTGCACAGGGTGATTGCCTGCATCCGTGTGACATTGAAGACCCATGCAATGCTGAAGACGAGTGAATAATGGTAATGCCCATTGGTCTCAGGGTATTCTGGAGTCTCTGTTTCTTCCCCCTCTCTACTCCTCCACTTGAACATGGCACAATGGAAAGATCAATGAGTTTTGAATCAGAGGACCTGAGTTTGAGTCTTGGCCCTGACAGGATTGCTACCAAGGTCAAGCAGCTGGTTAGTAGCAGGGTGAGAACACAGATATCCACCATGTCTGGTTAATGAACTTCCCTAAATACTTATGAAGTGGAGTGATTGAGGCAATGGGGAGAATAGAGTTCATTAAATGGGAACCAGGGGAGCTGACCAGATTACAGCTACGCCTGTAATCCGTAGCTCTGGGCAAGTCACTTAGCCTTGCCTCCTATGTAAAATGCAGGCGTTGGACTAGATGACCACCAACGTCCCTTTTAGCTTTAAATCTATGATCGCTAAACGGAATTGGTTTCAGGTGCAAGAACTCCCAATCGCTTAAGGCTCTGGGTCCATTGGGAAATTTTTTCCTTACATCAAGCCCAAATTTGACTCTTGCTACTTTCATCCATTGCTCTGGCCCTCTGGGGCCATGCAGAATAAGTCTCAAGCTCAGAGGACAGGGGGATCAATGAGAGCTAAAGTGATTAGGGAGGGCATGCTAAACCGTGGAAGCTTAGAACAACTAAGAAACTTAGAACAACTGAGCAAAAAAAAAAAAAAGGCACAGCCTCAGCAGGCTACCTTAAATGAAGAGCCAGACACCTTATAAGAGGGCCCCACTGTACTTGGTGACCTACCCCTGTGGCAAACAATATGTTGATAACAAAGCCAGGGTCTGAAAGGTTAGCATCTGGGAGCGCAAACCAAATATTAAAAGGGAGGAGAAAAAATTGGCAAGTTCAAAATATTTAATGAAAGGAAAAATCTGGTCCCATCTCTGAGGTCTCTGAGTACTGAGTATGATCAAAGTTTCATAAAAAGGGGAGGGGATGAGTCAAGATGAAAACAAAGAGAAAAACATGAGGTAGCGGGTTAAGTGGACTCTAAATAAAGGTTCGTATAGGGTTATAACCGCATATGATAAATTCCTCTATGGGTCTACCGGTATGATCCTGATTAAAGGAGAAGTAAGTCTTAATGAGATACAGATTAAAAATATTTTGACAATGGTGTTTGTCATCAGAGGTTTAGAGGGAGCTGGAGTTCATCTCCCAAGTACTTGAAGATCCTTTTAAGAAGCACCTAGACAGTGCAGCAGACAGAGGGCTGGGCCAGGAATCAGGAAGACCCGAGTTCAAATCCAGCCTCAGACACTTCCTAGCTCTGTGACCATGAGTAAGCCGCTTAACCTCTGTGTGCTTTAGTTTGTTCAACTACAAAACGGGGATAACAATAACACCTACCTGGCAGGGTTGTTGTGATAATTAAATGAAATAATGATTATAAAATAAATTAAATGGAATAATAATTGTAAAAGTGCTTAGCACAGTGCTTACTTAGTATTTACTTACATAGTAGGTGCTTACTAAATGCTTTTTTTCTTTCTTCCTTTCAAAATATAAGCCCACATGCTTAAAATCAAATAGACATAACTTCTGTTACCTCCTAAAAACAAACCCATCCGAGCACTCATTTTTTTTCTTAAGGAGAGAAGGAACAAAAGGCTGGTTTTGATGTGGAATCTACCTGCAGAAATCACATTGACAGACTTCAAGGAATCATTGCCTTTTTTATCAGGATTCTCATTGGTTGAGAGAATCAGTGGGCTAGAGAACGTACAGAAAACTGGACTGATCATTACTCTCAAGTGATCTGGTGGTTTTTGTTTGTTTGTTTGACTGCATCTACGGTTTCACTGATATAGGGAAGTCCCAGTGTAGAAACTCCCTCCAGCAAAGCAGACTAGCACTGATTCTGCAGCATATAGACTCTGAGTGCTGGGATTCTATTCACGCTCATATGTAACAGAACTAGAGGATCAGAGATTCAGAACTGCGACAGACTGTAGGTCACGAAGTCCAACCCATTCATTTTATAGATGAGGAAACTGAGGCCCAGGGAGATTAATGACTTGTGCCAGGTCACTTTACTAAGTGTCTGAGGCAGAATTTCAAAGCCAAGACTCTTTCTGACTCCAAGTAACAATAATGATAATGATGATGATGAAGATAATAATAATAATAATATCTTACATTTATACAGCACTTACTATATGCTTGGCACTGTGCTAAGTGCTTTACAATTATTTTCTTATTTGGTCTTCACAACAACCCCAAGAGGTAGGGGCTATTATTGTGCCCATTTTACAGACAAGGAAACTGAGGTAGAGGTTAAAGTGACTTGCTCAGGATCAC